GGTCTTTTTTCAACTCTCTCTCACTAAGCATGTTCTCAAACCCTAACCAACCTCACTCTTGCCCCTTAGTTCATCCTTTTCACAACCCACCCGATTGGGGAGAAGGTTGAAAAGGTTTTCTTTATGGGATAAAAAGTGAGTTTTCATTATGAAAAAAAATGGAAGAATACACGAGGAATACAAAAACAAAAACAAAAAACCCAAGAAGAGCCCAACCAGCTCTAGTCATGCAGAATAAGACCTATGTGGTCATGACAAAAATCTTCACAAACAGAGACCCAGAGGTGTGAAATCTAACAAGTAACCGTACCTCACTTGAATGCAATGCCTTGTGGGAGGAATCTTATAAAAGCTAAATACGCTCTACATCTTGTACAAACCGATTATTCCCATCTTTTGCCAATGGGCCATGAAGTTTATAAAAGAGCACCGAAACCTCATCACTGACCGCAGTTGCCAACACCATGCTAGCATTGCAATATCCTCTTTTGTATAGGCACTCACATTGCAAGTTGGAAAAGTCTTTTGTATAAAGACTATGAATATTACATCCCTTTTGTAAATTTCAATCATCAATGAAATTGTTTCTTATTAAAAAAAAAAAAGTTACTCACATTGCAAGACGACCACAATCAAAGAAATATGGAAATATGACAACAAATTTTGGAAGTCACAGTTCAATACGAACCTCAAGGATAGCAAAGCTGAAGAATGGGCCAAATTAAGCCTTGATCTTGCCCAATAGTGTTATCCCAAGAAGTAGGCTCATTGAAATGCCTTCCTAGGAATGGGTTTTCTCCACAAAATCCTTAATGATGGATATGGGGAAAAAAATATAAGTCATAAACCTCACAATAGCCAAGACAATATGGAAAGGTAATCATTCAAAAAACGGTGGAGTTTTTCCCATTGGAAATTATGCTCAAAGCCATTGGCACAAATGAAAACCTACAAAAAAGAATGCCCTGCATGACTCTATTTTCTAATTAATGCCCTTTAGGCAAGAGAGACAATGAATCACAAAACCACCTATTCATGTAGTGTACTTATGCCTATAACTTATGGATAAATATTCTCAACATTTTTGGATGACACCACACTTTTCTTAGGGAGGTCAAAGATTAACTGGACATGGTCTTAACGTACCACCCTTTCAAGAATGCAAAAACTCTAGTATGGACCAACCTCATCATGACTTTCTTTTGGAATATTTGGAAAGGGCGAATGCAAGGAGTTTTTACGAAAACTCCTACTAGGCTCTTCGACAATGTTGTTTACCAAGAAATAGAGTAAATTGTCTAGTATTTTGCTTCCTATAATCTTACCTCCTCATTGTTAATTGGGAAAGCTTTTTAGTAAGTATCATGGATAACACATTTTTTTTTTTTTTTGTAAATTTCAAACCTTAATGAAATTGTATCTTATCAAAAGTGAATAAACAAGTAAAATAAAAAACCTTCACCCAAAGATCTCTCCATTTTTCTAAAGATCCTATTGTTTCTTTCCTCCCAAAGGCCATAAACAATAATACAGAGACAAGAAAACCACAAAAGTGGCCCTTTTCATGAAAAGGATGATGGAAAAAAAAAAAAAAAAAAAAAAAACTCCTCCAACTTCATCTTCTTCCTTGACCGCTAAGAAACCTGAACGTGCAAGCTCCATTGTTGACTGTGAATATCTTTGCGATTTCCATATTGATCTTCGAGATTTAGCTTCGAATCCCTTCTGAAGTGGTTCATCCGCAACCCGACCATGGCGTCGCATGCCGATTACCTTGAGAAAATGCAGCTTCGTCAGGATTACAGAAATTTCTGGCATACGGATCTCACGGGCACCATTTCTGCCAATACGCCTTGTATGTATTTCAAATTTCTTGTTCGATTTTGCTTATATTTTTGGGATTAATCGATTGAGAGGGAAGAATGTTGAAAATCTTGTTTTTGTACTTGATTTCTTTTACTCTGTTTCGTTGATGGGATAGGGTAAAAATTACCTAAAATCGAATCATCTTTGATTTTGCTTGCGATGACCTNAACATAAGGAAAACATCTCACAGAAGCCACTCCACAACAATCTAGTAAACTGACAAAACCAAAAGAGATGATCTAGGTCCTCGGCTGCTCCCCCTCAAAGGATACCACATAATGCCCCAGTCATTTAAGGCAAAAATATCTAAATGCAATCCAGAGTACAAACGCAGCCATGGAGGATTTGCTCAACAGAGAAAACTTACCTTCATCGCGACTTTGATCTTCCAGAGTAAGGAAAAGATGGGAGAACTCGAAAATAAAGGCGTCGCCCAACAACGAAAGAACATGATGCAAGAGGACCCCTCCAAAAGGACGAGGCTCCATAACTAAAGATTTCCTCTCCCTCATAATAACAAAATTACCATAACTAGAGTGTCAAATTCTCAAGGAAAATACCGTAACCATTTGCCAAACAAAGCCCTATTACATACCCTAAGATTCCCCACACCACGTCCCAATTTGCCAAATGTGCACCCTTCCCTTCCTCCACCCCTTCCCATAAAAAAGGTCTTCAAATAAGTCTCTCTAGGGAACTACAAAACCTTCACAAGGATCCAAAACAAGGATGGAAAATACACGCGAATGTCACTAAGGATAGACTGGATAAGAATAAGTCTTCCACTCTTAGAGATAAAGCTTTTCTTCCGTAGGGGTTTTATAGGATTGATTAAAAGGATGTCCAAATAATAAATATAAAGTAGAAATACTGCTTAAGCCAAAAGAATGTGTATTAAGTCTCTGTGTGGAGATTGCATCTCCAAATCACTCTTACACTAAATACAGCCATTGACACAGTGTTTAGATTGTGTTGCCAATTTGCCCATTTGGTTTTTCACCTCGTCTAAGCTTATAATGGACGGCTAACAAACAATTCAATCGTTTGGCACTGGTTTCACATTCCCAATGAGTCCTTCAACCATGCCCCAGAGTTGACACTCGACTTCTACTGCAGACACGCATAGTTTACGGTATTCTAATTGTAAATTAAGAGTTAAGTCTCGGATGTACGAGTTCATGAAATCCTAACTCATCCAGGGAGAATAATGCTAGCAAGACACTAAATCACATTGAGCAATGACTTGTTGAAGAAAAACACTATGACATTGCTTTCAATCGAATCGAATGGTCAAGCAAGAGGATCGCGATATGATTGGTGGCATTTTAAACAATAAAAGCGGCTGAAAACGACAAGAGATAGAAAGAGAGAGGTGAGCAGATAAAACATAAATTACTCACCTCCATTCGCCTTCCTCATATGGTGAATAATCAATGTCTTCCTTCCGAACGCAATTGAACATCAGAGCCGCAAACGAAGCAAAAATACCTAAAACCCCAATACCAAAACACCATAAAAAAACCCTAACGGCAAATTATACATGGTGTGGACTGGTAAATGAATAAAAAACCTGGAAGATAGTGGAGGAAGGAGACGGCAACAGAACTGCAGACAACGGCGTCAACCCAGAACCACCACCCGGCGCCGAACACAGCTCCGGCAACGCCAGGGCCGAAAATTGACCAAAGCTCCGCCAAATCCATTGGTGGATTCTTCCTTTTGCCTTCTCCTTACGATTGCGATTGGAGACAGGTGGATTTGGAGAGGCTATTGTGAACTGAATGATCGCACCGCTCAGACCCCTTTCCTGCCAAGAAGATCAATATAAATAAACTAGAATCACAGCTACTCATGGCTGTGTTGGAAAATTATAGCAAATTTTATGCCTACGTGTTTAAATTATGATAAATGACCATAAACATTTAAACAAAAAAACAAAAAAACAAAAAACAAAATTTGACATTTTTTGTTATTAAAAGGTTAAATTGAATATTTAGATTTCAAAACCAAAAGAATGTCCTTTAGTCAGTTACCTTTTTTTTTGTATAATTTTCTAATAAGTTTACTTCGGGTGTATATGGTCAAACAAGCTTAGTTTTAAAATAAAAGATCAAAGGAAGCAGCAAAACCTAGCAAAAAAGAAAAAGAAAAAAAACATAAATCATGCTTGAGTTAGTTTCCCTCCAAGCTCCAAGCTCCAAGCTTGATTGGTTTTGAGATCTTTGTCATTTAGTTCTTACTGTCCCCTCCTCCACTCATGGAAGCCTGATTATGCGTAAGTATTGAGATTGATTGTTAGGAAACGCGACGGTATGATATTGCCCACTTTGAGTATTGAGCTCTTATAGTTTCGCTTTGGGTTTCTTATTTCCTAAACCACTTTCTTCTAACAAAACAATCCTCCCCTCGAACAAAGTATATCATAGAGCTTCCCTGAAGTTCATGTAGCCCTCAAATAGTCTCCCCTTAAACAAGGCTCAACTCATTTCTTTGGAGCCCTTAAACAAAATACACTATTTGTTCGAGACGCGAGTTACTTTTGACTACATATTCAAGGCTTGTAATTTTTTGTTCGACACTTGAAGATTCTATTGATATGATTAAATTAAATGCATGACTTTGATACTATGTTAGGAACTACGACTCTCTATAATAGTTGTTATTGTCCATTTTGAGCATAAACATTTTTTGCTTTCGTTTTTTCGAAAATGCCTCATACTAATTTAGACGTGTTCCTTACTTATAAATGCACGATCATTCCCTAAATTAATCAAGGTGGGACTCCCTCCCGACAATCCTCAACATCGATAGTTGCTAGGGCCTACAATAAAGACGTAGTACGATAGGTGTTTTTAAGACGACCAAATTATGTTAAATGATTAAAATATATGGTATATTTAAGTTAATTTTTAAATATGAAAAGAAAGCATCTAGAAAAAGAAAAAGAATCGAAATAAAGTAAAAATATTTGGGGGAAAAAAAAAAAAAAGAAAATAGGCATTGATCCGATAAGGCAATTCCATCACTTCAACAAATAGATAGACGACACGTGTACAGTGGAGGAGCTGTTACCGCGGAATTCCCACTTTCTTCCTACGTCCTAATAGTCTCCCCTATAAATATATCTTCTAGAAACAAACCGCCTTCACTTGCCTGCAAATAACGCGAATCTCTCTCTCTCCAATCGAAAGCGAAATCCAGCTGCGAACAAAATTTTAATCATTCGCAACGGAACAAGAACCTTACTAATTCCGGATCCCAATTCTGGTTTCGGCTCATCCTTTCCTCATTATTTTCCCTTGCAAGCGACGAGTTGGACTAGGATTTTAGGATTAGGGTTAGGGTTAGGGTTTGTTTTTGTACCTTTTTATCTGCGTAGTTCGTGCATGCGAAGGTCTGGATCGGTTAAGCGTATGTATGGCAGTGGTTGTATTTGGATAGAGTGGAATTTGAAGCTTTGACTATGGAACGGGCCATAGGTGGGTTAATTTGTGGTTATTGTTGGTGATGACTAGAGACCGATGTCACCTGGGAAAGAAGATGATGGGTAGGGGTGCGGATGGAGGCTGTGGTTCTGAGGAGAGGTCTTGCCCAGTGGCAAGAGTGCCGAACAGAGTAACGTTGACCCATACTCAAACACATGAGGATAAGTTGTCTACTGTGGACATTGATTATTACGCTCAGGCTCAAAAGGCGTTGTGCGAGCGTTCGCCATTCGATGTAGCGGAGGAGACTGCAGCTCCTTATGTGCCCACTTTGCCCGGTAGGTTGGGTAGCTCTTTGAGCAGACATACGGGTGGTAAGAAGCGGCAGAGGAAATCCAATTCTGGGGCAGACAAGAAGACTTGGAGGCAAGGTGAAAGGTCACGTGGCTCCAACATTTGGGTCGAGACAGAGGAATATTTTAGGGACTTGACGCTGTCTGATGTAGATACTTTGCGTGCAGCGTCTTCTTTTAGTGGTTTAGGGTTTAGGAAATGTTTTTCAATTCCGTCTTCTGGAAATGACTCAGAAGCAAATGTAGGTGGCAGTGATAATGCTAGTGATGAGATTACAGATGGGGCTATTGTTAAAGACGAGGTTGAGGATGACTGTTTGGGCTCGGATGTGGGCATGGTTGAAGCCAGTGATTCTCCTCTTGGAGACAAGGGTTGTTCAAACTTGGATTCGTCTCCCGGCTTAGAATGGATATTGGGTTGTAGGAATAAGGTGTCCTTAACTTCGGAGCGGCCTTCGAAGAAACGGAAGCTTCTAGGTGGTGATGCAGGATTGGAAAAAGTTCTAATTGTTTCTCCTTGCGATGGAAATTCATCTTTATGCCACTTTTGCTCTAAGGGAGATACGTACAAAGGGGTAAATCCGTTAGTTACTTGTAGTTGTTGTTATGTGGTGGTTCACTATAAGTGCTATGGCATAAGAGAGAAAGTCAATGGATCCTGGTCGTGTTCTTGGTGCAAGCAGAAGGATAAAACCAATGATTCCACAAAGCCCTGTTTGCTCTGTCCCAAGCAGGGTGGGGCTCTGAAGCCTGTACATAAGAACGTCGACAGTGGATTTTCTGTTGAGTTTGCTCATTTATTTTGTAGTCAGTGGATGCCAGAGGTATTCATAGAGGACTTGACGCAGATGGAGCCTGTTATGAATTTGGGAGGTGTAAAAGAAACCCGGAAAAAGTTAGTATGTAACATATGCAAAGTCAAGTATGGAGCCTGTCTCCGGTGCAGCCATGGTATGTTTATTGCCCCATTATTCAATGCCATTCTCCTTTTCTGTTTGGATGATGTATGGGAAGCACATTCCTAGTGGCTACTACGGTCTTCAGATTTTGGCTCAATTTTTTCCTTTTCGACTTCTGTATGCTGTTGTCCTTGGTAGGCTAGTTTTATGCGTTCTAGCAGAAAAGCATGTTTATGGCTTATCTGTTAATGTCATGTACAGAGTATTTAGAAGTTGGTCGAAATCTGAAATTAGTGAACAGTTAATTTCTACTACGCTCGAAGTTTGATTTTATGTTCCTGGGCTGCTCTCTTTCCCTCCCTTCCTCCCTTCCTCTCTCTATCTCACATGCAAAACTATGCTTTCTAACTTCTTTGGAAGGTTAGCTGTTGACTTATATACTACTACTACCATACCGAGACATAGGAAGGGGCATTTAAAGAGTGGAATATGTGCATATTTGTTTTTATTTATTTTCTTGTTTATCTATACTCCAAAAGATGTGAGCGGTATATTAGGCTCCATGATATATTGCTGGTTATAAATAGTTATCATTTAATTTAGGTTATGAAACTTAAACAAATAGTTTTTTATCTCATGCTTGAGAGTCTCATTTAGAAATCATGCCATTGGGGGCATTAACGGGACTTACTAGTTTCATCTTCCATGCTTTGTCTACCATATAAATTGATAGATGTCGGTCAACTTTCGTACAGGATGTTGGTGGTTCCTGATTTGCCATTAAGAAACCAGCTCTAGGAATTTCTGGATATTTTTGTACTTTGTGCATTCCAACTTATAAATCTCCTATTTGAACCCTGAAGTACCGAGTAAATGCACCTATTTAAACAGTAAATGAGAGACATGATGAATAATTATCCTCCCAACAAAAACAAGAGAGATATGTGAAAACTCCCCTTGGCTTGAATCAAGAAGATAGGATTTTATGAAATTGGACCTTTATTATTTATTAGGTTTTTTTTTTTAATGAATACCGAACTTTCATTGAGAAAACAGGAAGAATACAAAGGACATACACGAATTCGAGCCCCCCCCCCCCCCCCCCCCCCCCCCCCCCCCCCCCCCCCCCCCCCCCCCCCCCCCCCCCCCCCCCCCCCCCCCCCCCCCCCCCCCCCCCCCCCCCCCCCCCCCCCCCCCCCCCCCCCCCCCCCCCCCCCCCCCCCCCCCC